AGTGCTCATCTCTGTTACAAAGCTGAAGAGCCAATGCTGTCCAAAGAAGTCTCCGTGGTCATGTGGCCAGCGTGACTAAATGCCAAAGGCTCAAGGGATGCTGTTTTACATGCTTTTGAACTGCTAGGTTGGCAGGAGCTGGGACAAGTAATGGGAGCTCACTCCGTTACGTGGTGCCAGGGATTCAAACTGCTGACCTTTCTGATCGATAAGCTCAGCGTCTTAGCCACTGAGCCACCGCATCCCTACAGGTATAGATTCACCACAGCATCTGCGTATCTTCTTCTTTCTTTGAAGTTGATTGGAAGAAACAGATGAAAGAAAGCACTTGTTTTCATAATGCATCATTAACTTGTGGACTGATGTGATGTAGGCCACTACCTTGGATGGCTTTAGAAAAAGAATTAGATAAATCCACAGTGAACAGTTCTATCTATGGCTATTAATCTTAAGCATCAGTGTTACATCTGGATTGGGGGAAGTACGCCTTTATATACCAGTTGCAAGGGAATAACGACAGAACAGGTGTGTTTCTGTTTTCTGCTTGCAAATACCTTAGGGACATCTGGTTGGCTACTGTGAAAAATAATATGCTGAACAAGGATGGTTGTTGGTCTAATCATCAGATTAAGTTTAAAAACGATTTAACAGGCAAAGCAATTGGTAGAAATCCACCTATCTTGAAGGTCTCCAAGACCAGGGAGCCATGAAAGTTTATCATAGAATAAAGAGATTCTGTGCCTTTTATAGGCCAAAAATTAATAAACAGTAAAATGAATGAAGTCCAAAAATTTGGTCCTAGTGCTACCATAGATACAACTGTAGAAAGACATTATTTGACTCTTCCACATTCCAGGCTGGACTGGAAATCATCATTCCTCCAGCAAATGGTTAAATTGTAGAGTTTTTAAGTTTATAAGCAATACAGGTAGTTCTCAACTTACAACAGTTTGTTTAGTGACCATTCAAAGTTACAACAGCACTGAAAAATGTGACTTAGGAGTTTAGACCCACAGTTGCAACAGCATCCCCATGGTCATGTGATCAAAATTCAGATGCTTGTCAATGGATTCATATTTATGACAGTTGCAGTGTCCCAAGGTCATGTGATCCCCTTTTGCGACCTAAAACATATGAAGAATGGTTACAGGAACTGGGCATGGCTAGTCTAGTAAACAGAAGGACCAGGGGAGACATGATACCAGTCTTCTAATATCTGAGGGGCTGCCACAGAGAGGAAGGGGTCAAGCTATTTTCTAAAGTGCCTATGGGCCAGACAAGGAATAATGGATGGAAACTGAACAAGGAGAGATTTAACCTGGAAATAAGGAGAAACTTTCTGACAGTGAGAACAATCAACCAATGGAACAGCTTGCCCTGGGAAGTTGTCGGAGCGCCATCACTGGAATCTTTCAAGAAGAGATTGGAGTCCCATCTGTGAGAAATGGTATAGGGTCTCCCGCTTGGGTGGGGGTTTGGACTAGATGACCTACAAGGTCCTTTCCAACTCTGATTATCTGTTATCTGTCATCTGTTATCTGCCCTTCTGACAAGCCAAGTAAAAGGGGAAGCCAGATTCACTTACCAACCAAGGTACTAACTTATCAGCTGCAGTGATTCATTTAACAACTGTGGCAAGAAAGGTCGTAAAATGGGGCAAAGCTCACTTAACAAATGCCTCACTTAACAACAGATTTTGGGGGGCTCAATTGTGGTTGTAAGTCGAGGACTACCTGTACAAGATGTGAGAATTCACTACGTATCTCATCAGTCCCACCAAATTCTTTTCTAAGGGTCAATTGCAGAGAGATTATAGGAAGATTTACAATGTAGAGAAAGGGAAGCAGAGTTCTGGGGAAATTGCGATTTGACATATGTTGGCTTGTTTTAACTTAGTGGAACAAAACACATGGTAATGCACGTTAATGGTATTTTCAATTCCCTCCTCTCAGTTTTGGAAATCTGGGAAGATGAAAATGGCCTTTTTCTTTTTGTAAAAAAAGGGGAGGGGGAGTGTACTGTGTTTTGAAAGTTAAAATCTAAGCCCAAGATAATTTATCTTTTCATAATGCTGCTGTTAACCTTTAAATGAATTCGATCTTTGATGAAGCTACAACTACTCTGTAAGGAGGACAATTGATTCTTCAGCTTAGTTTTGTAACCTAATCTCTGGAATGTTGCCTTCGTCTGATTTCTTTGACATAATTATTCATTTCTAGCTTCTTCAATGAACACCTCACTCAATTTGAGAGGTGTTTGAGATGCCCGTCTTCATCTTAAAGCAGATACAGGACAGAAAAGAGGAAATGCTGGGAAAGGAAACTCGAGGCATCTGTGTGCAATGCACCCAATCGTCCTAAAAAGCAACTGTTAGTAAAAACAACTCTAAGGTCACAGCACTGTTTTAAGGATCTTTAAAGCAAGGGTAAATATAAGAGAACTTTGACCTGTGGTGCTGTTAGAAATTAATTAAAACCCCTAGCCTTTCTAGATTGTGTTATTTCAGCTTTGGAAATCTAAATTGCCAAGAAAAAAAAATCACACGTTGCTCAACATCAAGGCAGATTTAAAACAAAAAAAAGAAAAAAAAACCTACTGCCATCTTGCTCTAAATCCTTATTGTGTGGTACAAATATTCTTCTAAAATCTTCCTTTCTTAAAGCAGATCATTACAGATGTCTGGCTTCCCAGCTTTCCTGATAAATTATCCTCCTGTTTCACTTCAAGCAGAAAAAGCTCTTCCACCAATAAGCACCAACTGTCACTTCTGATCACTTTGTAAACAGAATATTTCTCTTTGGGGAAAAAAAGGATTCACTTCCTCCCTTCCATGTTCCCCCCCGCCACACACACACACACTCCCCAGTGTGAAGTTGCCAGCAAAGCTGACAGCCTGGTTTTAAGTTGTTTTATTAAAGCGGATAATACTCTGGCATGGCAGATTGTTGTTGTTGTCATTGTTGCGACAGAGCTTGAGGGAAGTTCAATATGTCATTCATTAACTCATCCACACAAAGCAATCTCACTCTTTCTTCCACTTTGCGGCAAGAAAGTCCCGGTTCAAAAATATACAAAGTTATTGTCATCTCCCAAATCAACAGCTTGCCCTGGATTTGACAAGCACTTACACAGTGGAAGTGTACAATTAGAGGAAATAACATGGAGTCAAGGAGCACGGTGGCTTGCGTGGTTAGGATGCCGAGTTGGAGGTTAGTAAGCCCACGTTTGAAACCCGACTGCTGCCGCGGGGTTATGTGAGCTCCCGTCCTTTGCTCCAGATCCTGCTAGTGACATGACAGAAACCCCCAACTGGGCATCTCCCAGGCAACGGTGATGTCACCGGCTAATCATTTCAACGCAGAACCTCTTGGTGCGTCTGAGTGCAATGCAACATGGAGGCACAGATTTAGAAGCTCCTTGGCAAAGGATCTGCTTTTTCTAAATGGTGTTCCTGGCCACAGTTATAAATTTCCCATAAGTCTATTGAGCAAAGTCATATCGAATGCTGTAGGAGGTTGTGAGAATTGTCGATGATAGGCAGCTCCTCAAACCCAACTGTCCATCTTAACCAGTGTTTTAAAACTTGACAACTTTAAGATGTGTGGACTTCAACTACCAGAATGCCCTAGCCTACATGGGAAATTAAGTTGCCAAATTTGAAAAACGCTATCTAGATGAGATTAGAAATGCTGCTTTGGTCAATTTTCTCCTCTGCATGGAAGGAGACAGGGAGAAGGACTAGGGGTGACATGATAGCAGTGTTCCAATATCTAAGGGGCTGCCATAAAGAAGAGAAGATCAACTTATTCTCCAGAGCATCTGAAATCAGGACAAAAAGCAATGGATAGAAACTAATCTAGGAGAGATCCAATCTATAACTAAAAAGAAATTTCCTGACAATTTGAACAATTAATAAGTGGAACAACTTGCCTCCAGAAGTTGTGAATGCTCTAACACTGGAAGTTTCTAAGAAGAGATTGGACAACCATTTGTCTGAAATGGTATAGGATCTCCTGTTTGAGCAGGGGGTTGGACTAGAAGACCTCCAAGGTCCCTTCCAACTCTGTTATTCTGTTATTCGTTTCAAACACTAAAAATCCAGGCCAGATATGCTTATAAATGCCTGGATTAGGAGGGATAAGAATGAATGCTATAATATGATAGTTATTGAAGGCTGCACTCTAAAACACATTTACAAGGAGTAAAATCCACTAACACTGAATGCTGGAATGAGTGAGATCTACATCTGAGTGAACATGAAATATAAACTGTTACTGCTTCCACCGCCCTTTCCTTTTTAAAAAATCTTTTCTCCCCCCCCCCCCTTTGGGGATGGGTGAGTTTTTCTCAACAAGGATGATTTCACTCTCTCTTTCTCACAATTCATTTATTTTATTTCCAGTCCTCCACCTATCTGATTCAACTGTAATAGGCTGACCACATTTGACCTATAACAAAAGCGTTATTAAATTGTAAGCCTCAGCCTGGAATGAGGTTAAGACCCACCGTCAGAGAAAGCTTCTCCTAGAAAATGGTTTCTTCTATGATCCTTCTGGTTGCTTTAAGATACATTGATCATGTCACACGTGGAGATGCTTCTGAAGTTCTCCTTGCCTGAATTGTATTAGATTTCTGAGTCTGGTCTTCTTTCTGGAATAGATACATCAGGAAATATTCACTGTTTCTCCCTCTGTACTACAGAAATGCTAGGTCTATCCTTGCTTTTGGTTTTGTCTCCTGGTTCTTCCTTTACATAAAGCATTGTGTACCTGTATACATATATGTTTGTGTATAAGATAAATGAAGTGGAGGAACTAAAAGCTGAGGAAGTTGAGGCAATGAAGTTCCAGGATTTGAAAGCTTCCCAATTAATCAAAAATCAGAAATAAATTATTGGAATAAAAAGAACAGGATAAAAACACCACTCTTTATGATGATAACATTCATTGCTTCAATTACTTATCTCTCAAAAGAATAACCCTCTCTTCTTTCCAACCAAGCTTCAGCGTCATGACAAAGAGGCGGAAGATTCCCCCAGCAAATGGAGATCTGAGGAAGAAATGGCAACTGAAGCTGCAATCCTCAAGAAATATTTTCAGTGAAAGAAGAGGTAATGCTCCTTACATAGAGAATTATAGATTTACTTATCATATGATATATTATAGGAATTAGGTGTTACAATATGTAATTATATCTTCCCACATATAAATAGAACTCAAGTTAAGTCCATTCATTCAGTGATCATTCAACTAGCACTAAATGTGGGGACTTATAACCAAGCCTCACAGTTCCAGTGATTTCCACAGTTCCAGCCATTGCAATGTCCTTGCAATAACATGATTGCATGAATCTGGGACTCTGGTGGCTCAGTGGTTAGAATGCAGTAGTGCAGGCTAATTCGGCCCACAGCCAGCAGTTCGATCCTCACCAGCTGAAGGTTGATGCAGCCTTCCATTCTTCTGAGGTCGGTAAAATGAGGACCTAGATTGCTGAGGAAAATATGCTGACTCTGTTAATTCCTTAGAGGGGGCTGTAAAGCACTATGAAGCGGCATATAAATCTAAGTGGTATTGCTATTGTTCTGTCCCCAGTTCATGGTTATGACACTACAATGAGCCGTGGTCACCTGATTGTGATTTCCAACATTCCCTGCCAGCTTTCCAGAAGCAAAGTCAATAGAAAAGCTGGCCGGAAGTCAGAAGTAACTCTTTTTTTTTTGTCTGCCTGCAATCCATACTATCTGCCTGCAGCACACACCCCCTCCCCATTGACAGTATGGGAAGGGAGGTGTACAGTATTCCACCCTACCCCGATGTACTCACCTGTACTCTATAGCAACCATGGCTAGCACATCCCTACCATCCTGTATTACCTACACATTCACCCACTAGCCTGCTTTTCTGTGTTTTCTGCCTCTTTCCACTTAACAACCCAAATGGGTCATGACAGTAATTGGGATTGTTGTTATTAAGCAATGCAGTCATATGACATTGCATTTTACAATCACATCGCTCAGTGATGGAAATTTGAGTCCCAACTGCCATAGTAACACAAGGAATAACTGTTAAGCCTGGATTCCCCAACGGGTGTTAAGGAAAACAAACTAAATAGAATGTACAGCGAAGTCAGATAGGAAGACAGGTAAATGTGTGAGATAAGTTTTCTAGTTAACACGCAGTAAAAATACAGATACGCTTGTGCTATCAAAAATATAGTTTATTCCATTTAAGAATTATAGCATAGTCAAATAAACAGTCCATTAGTCATATATCAATTTCAGTCAAGTCTTGCCGGGGATACTCTATTTGCAAAGTCCGTGTTGAATAGCCAATGCCAGTACACTTACAATAAATCAGTCCTTTATCTTCTCTCTGTTGAGAAATATCTTCAAAGTAATCCAACACTTTTTCTCCTCCCCGATCCAGCAAGAACGCAGTCTTCAATAAGCCAGCCAGTAAGAGCCAGAGAGTGCCTTGCTGCTTATATAGTACTTTTACAGCTGCACCCTTAATTACATTCCTTTAGCTTAAAGTCACATACACTTTATCTGACAAACC